CTTTCTTCTCTCTCTCTCTCTCTCTCTCTCTCTCTCTCTCTCTCTTCTTCCGTCTATTAAAGAAATTTTCGCGCTGGACAGTGTGTATTCTTCTTTGTTCGATTGTTTCTTCGAGAAACAGGAAGTTCGTGCGGTTAGCATTCTGGAAAATATTGTTTCAAAGTTTTTCATTCTTTTTTCGATTTAATTACGAAGATAAATAGATCAAGCTTAATATTTTGAGAATTGTTGAAGGTTTTTCTTCGGTCTCGACAATTTTTTGTTTTTATTTCGATATTTTAAATAATAATAAAAAGCTAATAATTTTCAAACATTATTCTAAGGAATTAAATTCTTACATAAAAGAATTGGATTATTTATGCAAATAATCTAACTTAATCTAATAATTTCTTAATCTCTTATTTTTACAAATTTTTAAAACATAAAGAATTGAATTTTTAACGTAGAACAATTGAACTATTCAAATAGAATCAATAGTTCATTCAATTTCCTAATTTTTAAATAATTTTCAAAATAAGAAATTAAGTTGTTGGAATAATTTTTGTTAAATATATATACTATCAATAGTTTTGTTAAATATATATAATTTAGAAAGATCATATTCATAGAAGATATTTTCATTTCTTGTCAATCACGTTAGTATCAATGTCAGTTGATGCTGCTCTCTTAATGCACCTTCCACAACACACCCACTCACCATTCTTATAATACTGGCACGTGATATCGATCGCAATATATACACGGTTCGCACGTCGATCAATGTAAATTTTCGTTCCTCCCAGTTCTTCTAGGCGTGGTGAAGATCGTATTCCGATCGAATCGATCCCTCGAATCATTCGATTGAGAAACGGTTTTACGAGATATTTTATCGTTTTCATCTTAAATATAAGGCTAACTTTAATTTTAAACATACATACAGAGATACAGAAGAGTATAAGTAAAAAAATCGATGTTTTAAACTTAATGTTGTAACTGTGAAAAAAAGAAAAAAATTGTACAATAATCGGTCTGATTTTAAAAAATGAAATCTACTTTTACTTAGTTCATCTTTTCCAAAGATATTTTTATAGCAACGTAGAAAAATAAAAATATTTTCGTATCTCGAAAAACATTTAAAAATTCACTTAAAGAAAACTGAAAAATTTGTTTCGTAATGGAATTGGATTAAAAACTTTTCTTCTTAATATTAAATTTAAAAAGCAAAAAATTTTCATCATTTTTGATTATATTCAAAATTCAATAATTTGAAAAAATTAATAAAAAAGAATTGTACAAATTTGGGGGCAATTATTGCACCCCTTAAGAACGGTACTGGCGGAAGAATCTTCATCGATAACTTTGAAACATCATTCATTACCGGAAGTATCGCATACAAAGTAGATAGACGCGTATTTTTTTCGCGGTCGCAATTGTTAACAGCTTAATCGATGGCATCTATAGGCAAGGACAGACCAGTCGATTGAATAGACGGGTGCACGCAGCGGTAACAATAGTAACATTAATGGCAACAGTAGCGAAACTTAGCCAGTCTTGTTACCTCGATATGCATCAAAGTGGATTTAACCGTACCAATATTTAATACACCAAATATATATCCGAATTTTAAAGATCAGAGTAAGAAAGTTCGTGTACAAAGATTAGAGAATTTCACAAATATATTAAATCCTGAACCCTGTATAATTGCTCAAAAATCGGAATGTAAATTGGAGAGTACTTGGAGAGTAGTAAAATAGATTCTTAATCCCAATATGACTGGATCAGAAGTCGAAAAGAATTTGAAATAGAATTCTTTTCATTTTACGTCAAGAAACATTTCGATATTGGAACAAAAAAAAAAAAAAATTAAACATGTAACACTTTCCGCAATAAATAGCGGAATTGATTCTTCATTCCAATATCGAGGATTTTTTTTATTCGAAACGAGAAGGATAAGCAGCAGACACGTACAATTTATTATAAACCTCTATGCAATTGTCCAACTTCCATAACATCAATCATATACGACCCTGATAATCGATGTTCAAGGCCTTGTGCGAACTAAGCAAAATTTATACGGTGGTTATTGACCAGTTTGTCGGAAAAATGAACACGGTCGAAGTACTTACCAAAGGTGAACGAAAGGAAGAAAAATACGAGTGTAAAACAGCGCAGAGAAGCGAGAGAGAGAGAGAGGCGGTCGCCGGTGGGTGCGCAAGAGACAGAGTGAGAGACGGGCGAAACAGGAGATCGGCCGTTTCCGCCTAGTTTCGGCTCCGTCCGTTGGGTCATTGGGTCAAATCTTCGGTTACATGGGAGTAGAGCAGTACAGTATACAGGACTGTACGCGTTCACAATGCAAACTTCAACTGTTCGCGGCGCGCGGCCGGCTCGTTATTCGATGCACCACTATTTTTAGAAATATACCGACCGCCCCGAGTGCCGAGAACCCAGAGCGGCCCACGACCCGACCGGGTCGAGACCGAATAAAATATGAATAACCGAGACACACGGTGCCCCGTGAATCCCTCCCTCCCGAGTTTTCTCGAGTTTCTTCACTTTTTCTACTGTGTCTCGTGTTCCTACGTGTCGCGCTATATTTCAATATTCGAGGCTGTTGTATCTTTGCACGTGCAGTTTTTGTATTATATTAACGATTTTCACGAGACGAATTGATTAAGTTTTTAAGATTTGTGTTTCTAAAAAAAATGAAATAATACCTTGGTTAATTCATTTCGAAGTGTATTTTATATTTATAATAAAGAAAAAAAAAAGGAATAATTAATAAAAGGTTTTTCAGCCTCGATTTAAATCGGTAAAAATTATAAGCGGAAATTTAATTTTTATTGGAAAACTGTAACGCCGAAAAGAAACTCAACAAGACAAGTAAGAAACTTTTGGCAACGAATATTAGATTTTTTAATATTCGAAAAAGTAGAAAGATGCATAAATAAATAAAATGGATAAATTTAATACATTAACTGCTAGTAATTCATGGTCGCTGTGGCGCTAGTGTCGCGTTATCAGTGTTTTTAATGCCCATTACGAAGTTCTCTCACGGTTTGAACACGAATACCTCTTTATCCGTTGAAGAAATAAAATTAAAAATTGAAATATGAATATTGTCGATGTAGTCTGTTTCGATTTCATCGATTTTCGAACAGAATACCGAATTTCCACGATTCCACGTAGATATCTGTAGTACTCGAGGGTTGTTAACCTCTGGACGTGAATGTCGATGCCAGCCGCTCAACTGTGGATGTCGCCTCGATACGAAATCTGATCGAGGGCAAATGTTTATCGGCCTGTCGGACAACTGGTAAGAAAATTATCGATGTTAACCTGTAGCAGAGTGAAAATTTCAAATAATATTGATCGAAACGCGATTATTCATTCTTCTCTTCTCTCTAATATATCTTACATTAATTTAAAAAAGAAAAAGAGAGAGAGAGAGAGAGAGAGACAAGTTTTCAAAACTTTTTTTAGAAAAAAAAGAAAAAAGAAAAAAGACACGATTAAACGATAACAATGGTAAAATATTTTACAGGCGAAAGAGTTAAAAGCAGAGATGGAAAAGAGGATAATGTCGCCGTGTCGAGGAAGAATCCTGATCTGCTCAAGTAGTTCTGATGCAAACTACTGACAAGTCTTAAGAAGGAGGAAATTTACAGAAGCGAGAAAGGAATCGAGGTTGAAAAAAAAAAACTAGAAAAAGAGAAAGAAAGGAGAGAAGAAAAGGAGGAGGATAAATCATTAACCTATATATTAGGATGGACCGAATTATTTTTCGAAAGCATTGTGAAAGCATTCTAAGTGAACAGGATTTTTCGATCGAATTAAACAACGACTCGGTTGAAAGTGGAATCGAAAATTGAAAATTAGCAATATAAGAAGAGGAATTGAGAATTGGCAAGTTATTCGAATATGAAGAAGAGGAATTGAAAAGAGAAAAATTGGAAGAAACGTTGAACAGGCGGAAGGGTTTGTCCCTTCTTGGACATCTTCTTGGTTGCATTAACGATTTATTAACATTATTTATACAAGCACGCTCGAATTTCCAATTAACGCCGGTCCCCGGCCGGATTTGCCCTCTGCGCCACCAATTTCTCCAATTAAACGCGTTGCGAAATGCCGTTACATAATAGATCAATTAACAAACGATGTCTGATTCGTGTAACAAGCCCAACGTCCAACGTGTCCCCGGAGAACGTGCAGCTCCCGTCCTTCGATGCAAAGTATAATTTAGTCCATGATAATAATCATGGATAATATAAAAATCCGAGATACGATAAATTAGATTTTTTTTATTCAGAGAATTTGAATTTATATATATATATATATATCGATCTCTCGTTGAAGATCTTTTATTGCACGCTCTTAGATCCGCGACGATTTGCATCGACAGATTTCTCTCGTTTCTTTCTAAAGGCGAAACGTGACCGGATGTTATTTCCGACGAGGCACACCGGGGCGACACTGACAAACTGCTATCCGCGCGAGAGAATGGAACGCATTATTCTTCCTCCGACAAACGACTACCTTCGTGTACTTATTCTCTTCTTCTCCTCCTCCTCCTTGTCCTCTTGTCTCGATGATTTTATATACAAGGTATTCCAGTCGACAAGGCTTGAGAAGGTGATTCTCGAGGTGATTTCAAGCAAATTTTCCCTTCGCGAAAATTTTCGTTTCGCCTTCGTTCACGAGTTATTGAAGGAACACGCTGGCCAATCACGTGACTCGTGCTCAACGCCACGGCGCGACATGATACGCGCACTGTGATTGGCCACAGCGTTTTTCTTGTTTTTGCTCGAAATCGCCTTTAGCCGAGAATCATCGGTTAATCCTTGTCGATTCAACGAGGAATGCTAATGCTTATAATTATAATTATTATTTAAATATTGAAGTAACATGTATTAATTTCCTTCTCCGAGGAAAATAATTAGATCAGAATAATTTGTCAGACTTTGAAAAAATTAAGAATAGACTAAATCCTCTTGGAAATTCACGTGGCACTGATTCGAAGGTGTAAAGGTTAGCGTGTAGGTGTCTGATGCTTTCCTTCCTCAATTTGCAGCTTAAAATAGTGAAATTGCAATAGATAGGAACCTTGTCCAATCGTAAACGTACGTATAAATCGATAATTTTTAATCCACGATCCCTTTCTCGTTGGTGAAACTTGTAACGAATCGTTTAAAGATAATTAACGATAATTTTGCAAATAATAAAACGAAAAATATCGTTATCGTTTAAAATTCGGTGTTAAGATGGATGTAAGAAAACGAGAGAGAGAGAGAGAGAAGAAAATAGTCGACCTCCAATGCGAGCATTGCGTGTTAGAAAATTATTTATTTGGAGGGCGAGAGTGTCAAGGACGTTTCAAGGTTAAGTAATATTTTCCCTCAACCTTACGTTCTATCTTTCTCGTAAATTAATTTAAAGCACGTGGAAGAGAGCTTCGTTTCAATCCAAGCTTCCTCTTTGTACCTATCTTCGATTCTCGAGCCTCGTATTTTCCTAATTAAAATCAAAAAGAAAGGGGGGAAAAATATTACTGGACATCGATGCTCGACGAGAGAGGACAATTGTTTCGATTTCTATATATCCTTTCTCTCTTCTCTACTTACAGTGGAACTCTTTATTTATACGAAAATACAATTTTACACGATGTTCGAATGATGACTTATACATATTTGTTATATGATGTGATTAGAAATATACGTTGAAATAAGTAATTACTATATTTATGTTGTAATATTCGATATTATGCATTTTAGAGATAATTTCTCGTGAAATCTTTTTATACTTTCATTAATCGAACGAAAAATCATAGTTAGATAGTGGATCGTACTATTACATGAGTAGCTTGGTTACGTGAAAGCATTATAAAGTGGAATTTCCATTGTACGCAGAATATCGCATAAAAGCTTTTTTCATATTACCGATTGAAAATGAATGTCAACTTTATCATCGATCGGTAATCTAATACATGTTTTCCACGCTACGATTACGATTACAATCAAGTGCATAATTAAAGAATAAGAAAAGAAAAAAATAGAATAATAAGACGAATAATCCATGGATATTCATTTCTAATTGCATAATGAGAACTGGAAATGGCTCTAACCGAGTTACACGAAAGTTTTTCCTTATACAAATAACACAGTGATCTAGAAACTTTTGCTCAATGTTTGGTAACTTTTCGAGGCAATAAAGCTAGTGTATTTCCGGCAAAATAGAATCTGGCTCGAAATTTAAGATAGGATAAACGATGGATAGCTGGCACTTTTGAATAAATTCAACGATATTAAGAAGAACGAAACGTTCCATCAGATCTATATAACGAATAAATTGAATTCCAAACTTTATTCTTGCCAATATATATTGCGCAATTACAAGGTGAAATTCTCTGGAAGTCGTTCGACAATATCAATTGTTTTTCAACCTTCTTCGAGTTGTTATCCCTTTTGTTAATTTACACGAATAACTTGCCCTATCTTCTTTGTAACTTCTCCATTTCAATAATTCTCGTTCTAAAGAAATTATAAAGTATCTTTTAAAGGATTGCAAAGTGTCTTGTAGGGAGTGACAAATTTAATTTTTAAGAGATTTTTAAGGCATAGTTTTATAAGAGGCTGCGAAATACTTTTTTATAAATAGATGCAAAATATCTTTTAGAAAATCGTGAAATGTCTTTCAAAGAATTACAAAGTATTTTTTCTTTTTTTGCCATTTTCATAGAAACTTGAATCGATTTCCTTACCTTAAAAAACACAGAAAACGAAACAACAACAAAAAAAACATCAACACACAGATCTGTTCGACTGGAAGTTATCCGTAAAATTCCATCCAATCTTCACTGTCCAACCGACAATACACCAACAACCAATATGTTGACCGTTTCCAAGATATCCTCTCTTCCTTCCTCCACCTTCCTCGTCCAGTCCAAGAGAATCAGAGAAAGAAGGGGCGATAATTTTCGCTCTCTCCTCGCTCCACCCCTCTCCCTCTTGTATACACTCTTGCCCGTCCTCAATTTCCTTCCAGTTACCGTGGGAAGGAGAGGCAGCAGGAGGAGGAGTGGGAGCAGGATGGAGGGGGGGGAGGGGACTCCCCCCTCCCTCGAGCGACTTTTATTATTCCACTTTTAAGTATTGTCTATTTTTAGAGATGCCATTTTTAGAACGTCCCACTTCGCAATCTCTCTTCCCCTCCCCCTCCCCTCCCTTCCCTCTTTTCTCACTTTCTCGGAACACATATATCCTTATTCTCAGTCCGGTTAATTACTTTGTATTCAATTTTTCGACGGTCTTAATCCCCCCCCCCCTCCTCCTCCCCACCCTCCTTTGTCATTCCCTTTGTTTTCCTTCGTATCACCGTGTACTTTTTACCTCTTTTTAACGATCTTTTACATTACTCCACCACACAACAACAAGAATCCATCGATCCGAGTGTAATTATTCGTTAAGAGTGGTTTTGTTGTTGGCCAATCATAAAATTGCCATTTATAAAATTATTGAGAATTTAAGGAGAGGAGGAAGAGGATATGGAGAGAGAGAGAGAGAGAGAGAGAGAGAGAGAGAGAGTATTGT